AGAGAGAGAGAGAGAGAGAGAGAGAGAGAGAGAGAGAGAGAGAGAGACAAGAAGCTTCTCATCCTAATCGACCTTGCTCATTGACCTACCCTAACCGATCCTGCCCGAGGTCCCGTGTATTCCCCTTGCGACCCCCTAAGATTTTCGGGTGGACGGGTGTGGGTGATGGAGGAGGAAGAAGGGTAGAGGGTGGTTCGCTATGGCGGACGGGTGTGGGTGATGGAGGAGGAAGAAGGGTTGAGGGTGGCCGGCTATGGTGGACAGGTGTGGGTGATGGAGGAAGAAGAAGGGTTGGGGAGGTCCAGCTATTAAGGATGGACGTGGGTGATGGAAGAGAAAGGAGGGTTGAAGGTGACCGGCTATGGTGGACGGGGTGTGGTGATGAAGGAAGAAGAAGGGTTGGTGGTGGTTGGCTATGGTGGAAGGGTGTGGGTGATGGAGGAAGAAGAAGGCTTGGAGGTGGTCGGCTATGGTGGACGGGTGTGGGTGATGAAGGAAGAAGAAGGGTTGGAGGTGGTTGACTATGGTGGACGGGTGTGGGTGATGGAGGAAGAAGAAGGGTTGGAGGTGGTTGGTTATGGAGGACGGGTGTGGGTGATGGAGGAAGAAGAAGGGTTGGAGGTGGTCGGCTATGGTGGGCGGGTGTGGGTGATGGAGGAAGGAGAAGGGTTGGGGAGGTCCGGCTATGGAGGACGGGTGTGGGTGATAGAGGAAGGAGAAGGGTTGGGGAGGTCCGACTATGGACGACGGGTGTGGGTGATGAAGGAACAAGAAGGGTTGGAGGTGGTTGGCTATGGTGGACGGGTGTGGGTGATGAAGTAAGAAGAGGGTTGGAGGTGGTTGGCTGCGGTGGACGGGTGTGGGTGATGGAGGAAGAAGAAGGGTTGGAGGTGGTTGGTTATAGAGGACGGGTGTGGGTGATGGAGGAAGAAGAAGGGTTGGAGGTGGTAGGCTATGGTGGACGGGTGTGGGTGATGGAGGAAGGAGAAGGGTCGGGGAGGTCCGGCTATGGAGGACGGGTGTGGGTGATGAAGGAAGGAGAAGGGTTGGAGGTGGTTGGCTAAGGTGGACGGGTGTGGGTGATGGAGGAAGAAAAGGGGTTAAAGGTGGTTGGCTATGGTGGACGGGTGTGGGTGATGGAGGAAGAAGAAGGGTCGGAGGTGGTCGGCTATGGTGGACGGATGTGGGTGATGGAGGAAGGAGAAGGGTTGGGGAGGTCCGGTTATGGAGGGTGGACGTGGGTGATGGAGAAGGAAGGAGAGTTGAGATGGTCGGCTATGGTGGACGGGTGTGGGTGATGGAGGAAGGAGAATGGTTGGGGAGGTCCGGCTATGGAGGATGGACGTGGGTGATGGAGGAGGAAGGAGGGTTGAAGGTGGTTGGTTATGGTGGACCGGCGTGGGTGACGGCGGAAGAAAAAGGGTTGGAGGTGGTCGGCTATGGTGGACGGGTGTGAGTGGAGGAAGGAGAAGGGTTGGGGTGGTCCGGCTATGGGGGATGGACGTGGAAGAAGGCCCGTTTGACGTATCCTAACTCCTAGCCCCGTGCCTCCGTTTTCTACCTCGGGCGCCTAGCCGCCCCCTATCACTTTTGGAAGTCATCGGTCACAACAAAAATGGGAAAGAGACTGAACCGCAGCCCACACACACACACTCACACAAACATACTCCGAGTGTTACTGGGTACAGCAAGGGGTAAGGATGACCTGCACAAGTTACCGAGGACTGCAGCACTCACACATACACACACCGAATGTTACTGGGTACAGCAAGGGGTAAAGATGGACCGCACAAGTTGTCGGGGACTGCAACACTCACACATACACACACCGAATGTTATTGGGTACATCACGGGGTAAAAATGGACTGCACAAGTTACTGGGGACTGCAACACTCACACATACACGCACCGAATGTTACTGGGTACAGTAGGGGGTAAAGATGGACTGCACAAGTTACCGGGGATCGCAACACCCACACATACACAGACCAAATGTTACTTGGTACAGCAGGGGGTAAAGATGGACTGCACAAGTTACTGGGGACTGCAGCACTCACACATACACACACCGAGGGTTGTTGGGTACAGCAAGAGGTAAGGATGGACTGCACAAGTTACAGGGGACTGCAACACTCACACATACACACACCGAATGTTACTGGGTACAGCAGGGGGTAAAGATGGACTGCACAAGTTACCGGGGACTGCAGCACTCACACATACACACATCGAATACCACTGGGTACAACAAGGGGTAAAGATGGACTGCACAAGTTACCGGGAACTGCAGCACTCACCCATACACACACCGAGGGTTGCTGGGTACAGCAAGGGGTAAAGATAGACTGCACCAGCTACCGGGGACTGCAACACTTATACATACACACACCAAATGTTACTGGGTACAGCAGGGGGAAAAAATGGGACTGCACAAGTTACCGAGGACTGCAGCACTCACACGTACACACACTGCTATAGTCGAACAACAAGACTAAAGCAATCTGCCTAGAGGAAAGTTTGCCGAGGCATCCCAAGGTAATTCGTAACTTACACATGCGTCAAGATTAGTGAAGACACAAGTTTTGAGAGCACCCCATCCAACGGAAAGTTAACCGAAGCATCACAAAGTGAATCGCAACTTACCCAAGTACCCAATCAGAGACAACACAAGATTTGAAGCATCTACCCAAGGGGGAACATCACCGAACTATCACAAGGTGAATCGCTACTTACCCAAGCACCCAAATCAGAGACAACACAAGATTTGAAGCATCTACCCAAGAGGAAACATCACCGAACTATCACAAAGTGAATCGCAACTTACCCAAGCACCAAAATCAGTGAAAACTCAGGATTTGAAGCAATCTATGAAGGGGAAAACATCACCGAACAATCACAAGGTGAATCGCAACTTACCCAAGCCCCCAAATCAGTGAAAACACAAGCTTTTGAAGCAATTTATGAAGGGGAAACATCACCGAACTATCACAAGGTGAATCGCAACTTACCCAAGTCCCCAAATCACTGAAAACACAAGCTTTGAAGCAATCTATGAAGGGCAAACATCACCGAACTATCACAAGGTGAATTGCAACTTACCCACGCACCCAAATCAGTGAAAACTCAAGGTTTGAAGCAATCTATGAAGGAAAAACATCACCGAACTATCACTAGGTGAATCGCAACTTACCCAAACACCCAAAT